ACTATGTCAATATCAACTAAGCAACCTGTGATAGAACACATAAATTTCCAATAACAATACTGTATAGACAAATCCTTTTAGAAAATGCGTGCTGTATTATTTAAACAGATATTCATAAAATGAACAGCAAATCTTAATCCTCAAAATATTTTCCGAATTAAAAATCGTAAAGATACTAAGTGAAAAATAGTGGTCTAATGGTTATGATACCAGGAGGTCTTGGATTCGATTCCCACCCGAATTACTTGCAAAAATTTTCCTCACAAGTACTGTACTTCGGGACGCACTAAGTGAACAATGAGTTCTCACCTATATAACAGGGGTCACGTTTGTAGATCAGATCAGTTCGAAGGGTCAAGTGATTATGCAAAGTGACTAAAGGCCAACCCAGACAGCGTCGGCCGACGCAGCCCGACCCGATTTATCGTCGGGGACAGTCTTCAGCTGTCGTGAGAAATATTAAACATGTTTAATATTCTACGACGCGACTGCACCCGACGCACACCGTCGGGTCTGTGTTTAACTCACACAGACCCTGAGTCTGAGTTGGCCTTTAGAGGTCTAGGAGAATAGTCTAAAATATATTTATTTGTATAAAAGGGCATACAACAAGCAATGTTTCTCAGGATGTGCGAAAATGTAATACATTTGTAGAATAGCAGTAGTTTTTTTTAAATAGATTTTTACTACTGTACCTTGCATTGGTGTTGGAATTTCAGGCAGATTTATATGAGTTGGTGCAACTTATGACTCATCACTGTAGCCATGCCTTTCACGTACACTTTGTGCAAGTCCAACAAGCTTCTGTTGCCTCAAAGTGTTCACCATGATTGGTATTTGTTGGCTCTTTGATTGGTCATCCCTCCAAGTAACCAACAATTCCACGATGCAGTCTTCGACCAGTCTGTAGTTTTTTGTTATCTTTTTTATATCGGTCCATTTGAGTCCAAGACGCACTCGCAGTCTCCTCCATGATTCGGGATCCAAATTGTCACAGATAAACAGCAAATCTTGATCATTAAACCATTTTTCTACATAAAAATTGTACTGATTATACAGCGAGTAAAAAAAAACACTTAGTTAATGACGTCATTGACTCTGCTGTGTACTATTGTTTACTTTGGTATCAAAAAAGAAACAAGCTATAGAACAAAATGTGAGGTTAATTTGCTATGTATTTCTGAAATCTTGAGATACTTACCTGCTTCTCACGTAACAAGATTTTCATCGCTAATTTCACCCTCAAACAATTCTTCAGCTAGTTTCCTAAGCTTATGTTGTTTCAGAGCAGTGCACAACACTTTACGTTGATGAATATTGTTACTGAGGCTGCTCCTCCAGTCATTCATCATATTTTTGGCAGCCTTATGAGTCTGCGTATCATCCGCATTGAACTTGTTCACTTTCGACCACTTAAGTCCCAAACGGACACCAAACCTTCTCCAGCTGATATTTAAGTCGTCAGAAACTGTCACAATGGTGACGTCATCCACAAAGCCTAACAAACAAGATAATTATTACTTGAAAACGTAATTATCCCAACTGTATCTGACATGAGTTTTAAACACTCCATTTAAAAGAAAATTAAAACTTTCACTAAAAAAATATAAAAAAAAATTATACCAACGCAATTGATCCCTGGTCTCCCAAAATTTCAGTACTTTTTTTTACTTTCTGTTTATGCATAATGTTGTTGGTTTAAAAAACCGAATATACAAAATAAGTGACTGGAGATTCGGGAAAAATAATAGCATGAGCTCTTTTAAACCATTATCCAATACTACTTCTTTTTTTTTTTTAAATTATTATTAACATTGTTTAACAGGAATAATTGAAGGGCTATTTTTTTTTGTTTTTGAAAACAAATTGGTCAAAATCTGTTTTTTTTAAACTGATATAGGCTTATTTGTTTTGTTAGTAAGCTGTAACACGAAGTGTTGATTACAATTTATTGATTAGTACATAAATACTAAGTTAAAATTATTTTAGCCTCATTCAATGGTATACAATTACAAAATAAATGTTATCAATCCATACCTGAATGGTACTGAATGGTGTGAATAAAATATTTAAGAAAGTCAACTCAAATACATGCTGAGATTGACAGAAGTGGGAAAGACTAACACTAATTTTCAGGTGGCTCAAAAGCTGTTAGGTAATAAGCCCTCACACCAAGCTATACCCCCTTCCACATAGGGGCGAATCCAGCGGGGGAGCCACGGGGCCCCGTCCCCATCCCTGTCAGTTCCGCCGAAAAATTAAAAAGAGAAAAAAATTGAGAAGACTTAAAGGAAGAAAGAGAGGGAAAAGGATGTGTACCCATGAGTTCAGTGGCGAATCCAGCAGTGGGCGAAATGAGAGCTCAATTATTTTACCACTCACTAATTTTGAATTTTCTATTGATTGACGAAGAATACAACGCTATATTCCCAATGTCAAATTTTTCAACGATTTCATAAATCAGTATGGAAAAAAAGGCCAGAAGACAGAAACCTAAGACAGAGTTTTCAACCATTATCCATGATCTGTGGTGTAACGCCTATGCGCTCTCGTGCGGCGGTCTGCAGGGCAACCGATCCCTAGGGGCACCTTTGGTATCCCTACCCATGGTCCAGTAGTGCCCTCGCTGTATTGCACCCAGGGCCAAAAAGGTTTGTTGATACATAACAGCACAATATGTCTCCAACATCGACTGTAGGACATATGCCATTTGGAGTGTGGTGCCCAGCCGGCAGGACCCCCTACATTTGTCAAACTTCTAAAAAATTGGAGATAAAATATTAGACTATTAAAATAGTCTGAATGAGTGCCATTTCCAGGCATCTAGATGTACCATAATCACAACTCTCAGTCTCCCAGTTGCAAGGATAGGGGGTGTCTAAGGGAAGGGGAGCATAGCTCCTGTGGGCAGAAGGTCAACAATTTTGTCGAGGAACACTGCTTTGAAAAAGTATTTTTACCATCTGAGAGTGCTATTTCCGAGCGTCTAGAGGTGCCTTAAAATTTCTCACCTCAGCCCCAACCATGGGACACTATGGCATTCCCCCACCCCCTTCAGAACTGACGATCAGCAATTTTACTTTTCTATATTTTTGCAGGTTTTTTTTTTTTACCGCTTCCTTCAACCATTTATTTGGTTTTGTTCTTTTCTGTTGACCTGCAAAGTGCATAGACACGAATGCTATATCTGGTATACAAGTGAACAATTTACCTTGCTGTTGGACCTCATCTTCAAATAGTCGGCGGTAGCGCGTCACTTCCATTCCATTGCTTCCACATGGCAATATGCATGTGAGCGTTCCTACAATCGCAAGCAATGTACCTTGTTAATTCCACGCCCCTTGCACCGCTCTGACAAAATATCTTTAGTTCTGTTTCGAGGAATATCAACACCTGTAGCAAATAGAAAACTGATCGTAAATCTATTGATGTTAATGACATGATTAATGCATTTAAAAAAACCGATTTCTTAAGTGTTTCAAGTCATTGAAGGCAGTACCTTCGTACATACTATCGGCGATGGTTCATCTTCCTGGGTAAGCTGAGCGGCATTGAAGATTTTTCGTCTGATGATTGTTGTCTGCAAAACGAACATAGGCCTCTGTCATAAGCAATTTTCAATAATGTATTAGACATAATATTTGATACTTAAGTGCTTGTGGTTCTGGTTTTGTATGGGGGTGTGTGTGTTTTATGTGCTTGATGTTCCAATTGTAAAATGGTATTCCTTTTATATACAGTATTTAATTTTTATTTTTTAATAATGATGATGGTGTTGTTTCAGTAGCGTCAAGAGGGGGGGTCAGGGGGGTCGCTGCCCCGGGTCTACTGGGGGGCCCGGACCAAGATGAAAAATTTTCGAGGTAAGAACAAAATCTCCATAGGGCCCGAGCCCAAGCCAGGATGAAAACTTTTGTTTTCAGAACAAACTTAATTTGGGGAGCGGCCGAGTGGGGGTCCCAAGTGAAGTGTTGCCCCGGGGCCCTTACTGGTTCCCGACACCACTGTTGTTTATTATGGTAATGACAATAATGATGGCGGTGGGATTGGTACAAATGAAGACGACGATGATGATGATAATAATAATGATGGATGATGATGATAATGATGGTGTAAAAGTTGCAATTAAGATATGTAGAAGTCTTTATACTAAGAGACAGATGACTATTCAACAGAATTTCAAGAAATATATAACAAAACTACAGTAATACTAACATTATTTAAATTATGATTAATGTATCGATTACCTGTATTGCATTTCTATTGTATAAAAAAAAATTAGACATGGCAAATTTCGAATATAACATTCCATAATCTACCATTATGAATAAACTTGTCATTTATATTCAAAGTAATGTAAGTACTCTTAAGTGGCAGAGATAAATAATCTTAAATTGCAATAATTACCTTAAACATACAACGATGCTTGATTGAGGCTACACTCAAAACCATGTGATGAAGTTCATAGATAACCCAATTCCACATGCTCATAAGATAATGTAGGCTCATCGTCTTTTACTTGGAATCTCTCAATGAACTTAGTTACTCCACGCTGGAAAAGATCGTCAGGTAGATAGCGACCACAGTCATGAAAGATTGAAACTGTGCGAATCCCGTAATTGTTAGTTTGAGTGGCATCTATTCGTTTAGGCTTCAAGCGCGAAAGAACTTAGAAAATACATTCACCACCCTGAAAAAAATTAAACACTTTATGTCAAAAATTGTCAATAATAGAAAAAGAACATTTTAAACAAATTAATGACACGCCTATGATGATTTCAATTTGCTTTTATCAATTGATGTGATAAAGCATAGTCTTAGGGCAAAGAGAAACAATATTATTGAAAAAAAATACCATTGTAATGTTTTTCTCACACACCAGTCCAAATTTCTGCATGAGACTGAGAGATACAAAGAAGTCAAACATCTCTTCTGAAAAATTGAAGTCCTTCCAGAGGTGTCTTAACAGATGCTCCTCTAGGACCCCTGAGTCCAATCTTCTCCAGGCCTTTCTGTGCTTTGTTTCCTGAAATTTAATCATTTTATATCAGGCTATGCTTTTATTGCAAAAATACATCACTAAAATAAATAAATGTAAAATTGTGTGAAGTTTAACTTACCATAAACTTTGGATCAATAACGGTTATTATTGTTTTAAACATGTCAACTATTTTCATCAGATTTAAAACAATAATGTCCTTTAAGGCGTCGTCATCAGGAAAGTAGAGAATCTCGCCAAGGTCGTGTAAATACTCAAGTAGCACCATTTGGGCATCTATTTTGACCCCACAACGCTGAACTAAAGCGATCATCTGATGAAGAAAAAGCTTGCACCGATTAACACCAAGTTTAATGGCTTCAAACGTGTGTAGAAGACTATAAATACAAATAACAGCTGAAATTCCTTTTATGCAGAAAAAATTCCTGGATTTTTCAGGATGCTTGGGAGTATGATTTAGAGTTCAAAATTAAAGAATGTTGAATAGATGCTTTACCTCTTTGGTTGGTAAATAGATATGTTCCACTTTCAACTTCTGGATTTCTTGTTGAGCAAGCAGCCATTTCAAAGGTAGTTTCCTAACCATCCTCTTTGCAAACTTTAAAATCTGGTTCATAATGTTAGAAGCATTGCTCCTTGCGAACGGTAAGCTCTGTCTCTTATACACATCTAGATGTGTATAAGAGACAGATGATGGTGTAAAAGTTGCAATTAAGA